TTGTTTTGCCATCACAGTGTCTTAAACTGTCTCGGATATTTTCGGTCAGTTTGTATTTATCGAAATCTAACCGATTTGCAGGCATTGAGAATCATATGGGTTGATTCTGTATGGTAAATCAAATTACGAAATTTCGCAGTAGACACATGTACACGTGTTTTGCCACTCTCGTTATTGGGATCGTTGTCTTACGCAAAATTTACTATTCGAACGTAACGTTTAGACGGATATGTTGATGTAAATGGGTTTGTTTAGCAGGTAATCTTGGCTACACCATCTCAATTGATGGGCGTCCTGATCGTTCTCTGTTTTACTGAATCTTTGATAGCTCGTTCTGAATTTTACACGACGCACCTTCATAACTTTGATTAGCTCTCAAATCACTTAATACTCAGGAAAAATGTGTTATTGTTACATTTTCCTGAATGTCACAACCCATCGATTTTAGCTTATCTGTTTCAAGCGCCATCAATTCACCTTAAAATTTCTACCACATGGGAAATTTGGGTTGTTCTTGTTAATTTTTTAATTTGACGCATAGTAAGTGCTATTCTTCGCGATTCATCCTATCCATTATCGTGCACTTGTGGTAAGTAAGGAGGGGAGCTGTTTGTAGCTCTTATTCAAGTCAAGTGGAAAGTATACTTGGCGGAGCATTTGATTGACGTGCATAGTTCCCCATTATTTTACTAGAAGATTTTAGAACTCCGGAAAAGATCCTCTCATCAAGTAGTTGACACACCGTGGTATTATTCCCCCTGAATAAAAATGGTCGCATCCACTTCGAAATGCAGCAACGTTTAGTTTCAGGACATCTTAATCGATTTCTTGAAAATGGTTTGGTTTGACATCTTGATATAGATTAAAAATTCACCGATTTCTGCCTTAAGTTCCTACCTGCTGGGTATTGAAGCTTATCAGCAATCCTTATTTTTTACAACGCCATTTACCTCAGTGCCTTGTAAACGGATTTTTAGCAACGGTCCTACCTTATATCTTGGTATTTTTTGATCGTTGCAAATTAACCTTCGTCCCGAAAATACTTTGTTAATTATGTTGTCTGTGTAAAGGTATCACTTTGAATTTTATGCAGTTGGACCTAACGCGGATGTCGCACTCGGAGCTGAAGGATAGTGGGAACAAGTTTTTTGCTGCTTCTGATAATAAGAGGGCTATTGAATGTTACAGTCTCGCTATCAAGAAGAATGGTTCAATCTCTACTTATTATTCGAATCGTGCCCTCTGTTACTTGCAACTAAAAATGTACGATCTGGCGCTCGCCGATTGCCGGTGAGTTGTTGGGTTGTCTTGACGTCCAAATCGCAAAACTCATCTAGTTGGTCTGAGCTCGTCTCAAACATTGTCATACAGCAATTATTTGAACTTCTGATTTTAATGAAATTGTCACATTTTAAGGTGTTGTTCTGTGTTGAACTGATTGACAGTTGCGTACCATCCATGTAATACCGAGTGATGATGAAGTTACGTTAGCATTATTTGAGGACTTAAGGAACTAATGGTTCCTTAAGTTTATCTGGGCACACTTTAAACAATTTCTTGTTTAAATTACGATTATCGATTGGTTAAATTATTATTGTTGTTCACTCATTGTTTGTCCGGAGAATTATTAGAAATCACGACCTAACATTTTCGTGATGAGATTAGTAAGTGTTTATTGTACGTGACTGCGCGTGTAGAAACGAGGTCACAGGATGAGATTATTCACACGAATTTAGTTCTTAAGCCCTCTTAATATATTTTCTACTTTTGTAGTTTCTTATAGCTACGCTTAGTTTGTTAGTACCACTCATTACTCCAAAGTGCTTCCAAAAGGACACAAATTCGATCAATTTTTCCACGTTTTTAGATAATTTTTGCGGTGTCATTAATTACCTTTCCTACTAGGCAAGTTACCTTTCATTCTTTCCGATATATTTCGTCAATATTTGCATCTTGGCAAGTCTAACTCTTGCGATAGTGCTACTGCGTTCCTTCAACACTCGCTGGTTGCTCATATCGTGTTCGCGTCTCATTGCCTATAGTCGCAAAGACGTCACCGTCAAAACAATTTCAGTGCACAGCATAAGCCAGACTTTGACTGCACTGACTCGTTCGTTCTGATTTGTAATCGAACGAGGGGTAGTACTATTCCGTGTCAAAGGCTGTCAGGCGTGACAGGGTTTTCGTAGTTAACTGTAAACGAGTGAATGCGTTGTTGTAATTTTTTCAATTTTGTGTGTTCACTATGCTGCCAGTCGAGCACTGGAACTCGACCCGAACAACCTGAAAGCCTTCTTTTTCGCGGGCCAATGCCACATGGCCCAGGAACAATACGATGAAGCCGTCGCAAAACTCACAATCGCCCACTCCTTAGCTCTGGAGAACCACAAAAATTTCGGCGACGACATCGCCGCCTCCATTCGACTGGCAAAACGAAAACGAGTTGAACAGCTTGACGAAAAACGCCGACAAGAGGAAATAGAACTACAAGTACGTGCACTCTTTCTAGTGCGCAGGAAATGTCCCTATTTTTGACAAAGCCCGAATTATCATATGAAATCTAATTGAAAGCAAATTTGGTCGTTTCCTGCCCCCGTAGACTACTAAAAATCGGCTTAGACATAAGGGGCCATTACTATGTCTATTCAATCATCGTATATCAGTCTCGTTGCCTTGTAAATTAGTTAACGGTTATGAGCGGTTATTAATAGCTCAAAACATGGTTATTTTTTTGGTTTTCTGAAATTATTTTTATCAAAAACTCACCCATTGGACTCTGGGTGTAGACAGAAGGGATTAATTTACACAGCTAATAACTAGGCGGATTAATCTTCGCCGACATGGTTTATGCATAAATACTGAAATGCTCTATCGCCAGCAAGGCCTTGACATCTGCCCGCATTTTTTTAATCTCTTCTGGGAGTGTATGGATCCGACCACATCACTTTTTTGCTTTCATATTTTACCACAGACCTATCTCAACAAACTGATTGTTGAGGACGGAGAACGCAAACTCAAGGCCTTATTCAACTCCAACCAGAGTCAACAAGAAGACAGCGGCAAGGCTGAGCGGGCAGAGGAGGACGAGCAGAAGCAGAGTGACTCCCAGCCGGCCTCTGGACGGACGTCACCAGAATGCGACAAGGCTGCTGGCGGTGGTGGTGGTGGTGGTGGAGGTCTGCCTGCCGATGTCTCCATCCGACCGCCCCAAACTGCCAGCCAAATCGAGGCAGAAACTGCCAGCAGACTACGCGAATTGGATGCGCTGTTTTCACAGGCAAGTCATTTTATACCGTGTGTTATTTCCTTCCCTCTTCACGAATATCATTTTTTAGCTTAAATTTTGAGGCTAGCTTCCGTTTGACCGATCGAGGTACCTGTTGAAGGGTGGCGAACACGCCATGGCCCCAGTTATTGAGGCAATTGCAAATAAGCCTGTTTTTCAGGTGTTATATGCTCTTATTACGAAATATCATGTCTGTTTTTAAAAACATTTAAGTCCTGCTGTCAACACGTTTCATATTTTTTCGTCTTGGAGTAGTCTTTGTTAGTTGCTGATTTATTATTGTTGTTTTCATTGTCATATTTCCCTATATTTAGTTGATACAGACTAGTTCGTAGTTTACCGATACAAGGCACAGTGTTATAAGTTTCGAGCTGAACTAGCTGAGCCACACAAGTCTAAGGTTATGGGCTTGTCTTTCAGTGCCATGTTAACAAACATCCTCTTTTCTTAACCCAAGTTAACTAAAAGCGTTTATTGAAATGGAAAATTGTGATGATCTGCCGGCTTTCGGTCTGGATCACGTTGTCCATTGGATTATGCCTGTGATCCTTCCCCTTCCCCCCTTCCCCAAGGTTGACGAGAGACGCATGAAGCGTGAGATTCCCGATTACCTCTGCGGTCAAATCAGTTTCGAGTTGATGCAGGACCCCGTCATCACGCCCAGCGGCATAACCTACGACCGACGGTCGATACAGGCCCACCTGCGCCAGGTCGGTCACTTTGACCCCATCACGCGGCAGCCCCTAACCTACGATCAGCTCATTCCCAATCTAGCGATGAAGGAGGTCGTTTCCAAGTTTTTGGAGGAGAATCCTTGGGCTGACGGTTTCTGAAAAGTGGCTCCTTTGTTGGCCACTTTGTCGCTTAGCTTAATCACTAGCCCTTATCTCATTGCCGTGTTTTAATTTGGTCTCGTGTACAGTCACTCTTTTGCTGTTATGTTAATATACGTACACATTTATCATCCGTTTATCAAGCACTTTTGGCATGTTTGTGTTTTTTTTTATTGCATGTCTTGATGTGCGTGATCGTAATTAACGTGGCCGTCATCCGGTTGTACCACGATGTTTAGATTTGCTGGGCAAGTAAGCCAGGTAATTGTCCTGGGTTGATGTGCATAGTCTTCTGTAAATAATAATGGAGAATTTGGCATCGCAGTACTTGCCCCTGACAGTTGCTGTCACCTGTCACAGCGGGCGCATCTATTGGCTCAATTCTGAGTGCGGGTGTGCAGACCACTTGTGTGCCATGTGATAGAGACGGGGCAACATCTCAGCTTTGTCATGAATCCACCACTTCTGCATGAAATGTTCAAAAAAGAAGCAGCGTCTTTCTGGTGAACGAGGACGGGGCGTCAAGAGCCCTAGACCCCTTCCCGTTGTCATCATAACGGTTCATAAAGTGAATTCCTTCTAAATACCATGCCTCAGTGTTACACATGGTCACACTTCTAGACGTAGGGCAGTTATTTGTGCTCGTGTTCACTACCAGTTTGAATCACAGTTTCGAATCTTCTAAGGAATGTTATTCGATTGTAAAGGGATATTACACACGCTCACACACACTGATTTAAAGCCGAAAATCTGGTTATCGTTGTATTCGTATGTACGACAAGAGAATTCAGTTGTCTGTGGTCGGTAGAATTCTTGCCAACGCATCCTAATAGTTACCTTAATCCCATTAAGGTGGATTGACCTTCCGTTATTGGTTATTTTGGTAGTTTGTAAATGAGAGCTTAACTTTTTTGTTATATTGAGGTCTAGGCTATTCGGTGGTATCTAAGGGAAAAAACTGCAGATTTCGAATTGGATTTTATTAGAGAATAACACATGCTCTTTTACAATTAGCCCACTGGATCCATGAAGAGCATTTTACTCTTTTTTGGCTTTATGTACGACGTATGTTGTAGTAATTGGCGAATTCCTGCGGTTCGAAGGATTTCAGATGTCAGATAGCGGCATCCTTCACGAGCTGCCACTATGTAGCACTTCAAGTAGCGTCTAGACTTTTCAATGCGAAATCCGCTAATAAGCCTTATTTATGAATTGCGCCTGTGTTATTTCAAATGACAGTTTAGCATGTGGTATGTGTTCGTTGGCAATTTGAGTGTCGCGATGCCTGTTTACTTTCACATTTTCTAATAAAAATAAGCGAACTAAAGGTAGTTTCCAACACGACGACTTGCTAGCCTGTGTGTGTACACTGCCTGTCGCGCATTTATTCAGTTGTAATTACCTCAGCCGCTTTCTTTGTCTAAGAACGCTTGATGGATTTGAAAAGATCGCCTTCGCGAAGTCATTCAAGATCTCCCATCACATCCCCAAATCTTAACTACCTCTCTTTCCGTCGGTTTCCTGAATCCTTTCGGGTACCCACGGGACGAACCTCTCGGTATCCAAGAAGCCACCGTCGAGTCTCTTCCCGCCGTGGTGCATCACCCCCTATTTCAGCCGCAATATCCCCTTCCGACTCCTCGTCCTACTCGACGTCCTCTTCTTTGACCCCTCCCGATACCACTGCCCCTTATCCCAGGGAACGGACGTGCAAAAGACGGGCACCGTCAACTAGAATAACACGGAATCGACCTCGGGGAGTTAGTGGAGGTGACGGACATAGTGGTGTCGTTGTAGATCGAACGCCCTCTTCGGTGAGTTTGATTTAGCCGCAAGTATTGGGCCATATGAGTTATAAAAGACTCTTTCTGTTTCTTCGTTCACTTACTTGTTATGATGTTCAAGGCATCTTCGCATCACCGAAATCGATCGCTCGCCCGACAGCGACCATTGCGTCAGGCTTGTCGTTCTTCTGATGTCAAAAGCTCCAGTTCCAACTCCACGTTAGAGGATTCATGTGACGCAGATGTTGACGTGATCTCCGCTTCGTTATCAGTGCCCATTACTATTCGACGTGCAAGCGTCGGACCTGCCGAATGGCGTCGACGTCGAGGCGCGGCGGCATCACGCCGCAACTCCGTCCAATTGAACGCCGCTCTGGACACCGCCACGAGAGAGAGCTCAGATGACGAGTGCTCTATATGCAAGGATGAGAAGGTCAATCGCTCCGTCTTACTACCCTGCATGCACACTTATTGTTACGCATGCATTTCCCAATGGGTTAGAATAAACCCTACTTGTCCGCTTTGCAAGGGCACTGCAGAGAGAATCATTCATTCGATAACTTCGGATCGACAATTTTCTGAGGTCAGTGTTGCAACGACTCGAATGCATTCGACTTCGGTTTCTCCGACCGGTTTCGTCGGTCAGTTAATGAGCCCGCAGTTTGAAATGTACGAAGTCTCACCACGGTTTCTCAATCGGTCATTAACCCCATCTAGTGATATTGGACAAGTCTCGGTTCTGCCACCATTTCATCCGTAAGTTGTTTTCTAATAGTAGGTCGTTCCTTCACTTAGTTAATGGCCTTTTCTACCCATAAACTACATCGGCAATAAATAATGCTACTTCGAATGAATTTGGCACTGCTGCCTTATTATTGAGGAAACCCATGGTTCGTAGTACGTCGACTGATTTTAGACGCTCCTATCAATTAGGCCAAGGCGAATACACCATAACTAAGTTCTCATAATCAGAGACAGTGCTTATGTGTGTTGTTCTTGTTTGAGACATGCTGTCGCTCAGCTGGAACAAGCCATGGAAATAGTCTAGCCTAAATCCATAATTAAGTTCAGTGAAGTTGGAGGGTTCGAGTATTTGCACTCTTTTTATTTTGTCTGGTTTAACAGAATGAGTTCAGTCCCTTGATGGATTTAAGATGATGCATCTGCCAATTGCAAATTTTTATGCCCCATTTTAGGTGGCATCCTACATTGACTGTCTTCGTTTGAATATCCACTGTGACGTTTAAAATTCTCGATTTCGTACTTAACGCTTACGTAAATCGGATAGCCGCTAGTACTTCTGAGAATTTATAACAATAGATTCTATTTCGGACTAATCCCCCACAAGCTAAACCGTTGCGGTTTATCATTACTTGTATCAAAATAGTCTATTTATTTTGTGTATTTTTCATCGTAGCTCCATTAACTCAACGACACAGGACCACCACGGCGTCCTCTTGCATGCATTTCTTTCCCAAGTCTTTGATTCATCCGTCATTGACCCGTCACTCGTCCGTCGTTTAGTCTACACCAACAACCTCTACACCTTCCCCATTCCTCCAGCTACTCAAATGCAGTGTGCGTCGGACCTCCTCACCCGGTCCACTAGCTGTTCCTTCCTTGCTCAAAATGAGGCTCTGCACACACGCCTGATAGATTTTGCTCAGCGAGAATTAATCTATTTGGCGCCCTGGCTCGGGTTTGCTGGTCGTTATGAATCGGTGACAACAGCACCTCTTAATGCGCATCCACGGCTCAATGAGGCTGTCGGACGGCTGGCAACGCAGATCATACGTCGGGTAGCCTGCTGGAATGTGCCTATTTCTCGAGTGTCGGAATTCGCTGACGCCGTGAGACAATTAGACCAGGAGTCGCGAAATGGTGCTGCTTATTTTGATGGCCCTCTACTAGCGTCTGTGTCGGATGCTCAATTAAGGCACTTTTGTTGGGAACTTTGGCAGTTCGCGAGGTTTTCTGGCACAATAGACGAGTACTATAGTATAATGTGCCTCTTCAGGGAACACTTTGCACAAGGTACGTTCGGCGATTTTTTCAATAGACTAATGTGGTATTGATGGCGTTCGTGGGTATCATCTTAAAGGGTAGGGCAAAGATGAGTTCTCTCCCGTCCAACTTTTCGCTAATACATTTAGTGGTGACTAGTGTGTGCCGTTGGTTTGCCATTACGTGGATACGTCTTTGCATCGTGGCATCTCTTGATACTCAACGCAATTTCTAAGTCTTTAAAATCGTATGTTGTGTCATCTGTGTGGTCATTTTCATCTAGGTTCTCTGCTATGGAAGATCACAATTTGTTTTAACCAACACCCGAATGCTTAAGTTCACTTTGACAAGGAATTCCAATATCAGTGCGTACCACTTTCATATGAACTACTCTTTCGTACTAAATGGTCCTCTTAACTTAGGCGCAGAACTGACAAATGTTCGCTTTACTTAAGCGCTTAGACCAACCAAGACTCATCTTGCATCATAACGCAACTCAGTGACATGCTGTACCCTGCAAGGCTTGTTCCCGCGGTCTAGCAGTCACAAGTTATGACTGAACATGTGCACCGGGTGTATATATAGTGTGGTAGGAGCGTTGGTGCTATTAAAGTCCTATATTATTCAATTAGGCTTTGAGAATTTTATGACCGAAAAATCGGAGTGCCAATTTCCTTTATGAATTAACCGAATAGCCTGTGGCCTGTTCGTGTTTTTTACTAGGTAACTAGGCACTTTTTTTCCGCTAATCTATACAATACAGCGTGTGTAATTAAGAAAACAGCAGAATTTAAGCTGTATTTAAGAAGTGCTTTAGTGTGTTCTAGCGGCCAACTTTGATTCAAAGTGATGAGGATGTACGTCTGCTAAACAGTTTGTGACGAGCAGCAAACTAACACAGCAATTGTGAGGGAACATGACTCAACTGGTTTACGTAAAAGCACTTCTCGTAGCTAGTACGTTCAGGGATCGGTGTTTAGCCGATCCTATATAAACTGACCTTTTACGTTGTAAACACCCACCACTACTGCATCAATAAATAAGTTGAGCATTTCTACTCTGCTTTGGGCCGGGTCGTGCCAACGTGGATTGTCGGCCCTGGTGTGGTTTTCTAACCGCACAAGGGGTCGCAAAAAGCTAAATTAACGCCTGGATAATTTGCGCTAGGTGCCCCTAGTTACTCAGAAATCTTAATCTTCTTCCTTTCAGATTCTCAGTCCGAACTTCCCCCGCCAATCAACCTCGCCGTTTACACCAGTCCGCGCTGCGGCGCACCTCGACCTGGCATTGCTCGTCCATCCGGCCATTTCATTGACACTCTTGCATCATGGCTTTTTAGTTGCTTTTTTCAAAACCCTGACGGAAGCGGTGTTATACCTCGCTACTCTGCTCGCAGATTACTGCAAACTCAAGCAATCTCAACAGCATGTAGGCAACTACTTCCTCTCACTCTCCGAGATCCATTCGGTCTGATTAGCGGTAGTCACTCTCTCCCTACGTGTCGACGACGGGCAGCCCGCACACTTTTGGTGCGATTTGCGGAGCGGCCCTGGCCAAGGCAAGTGTCACAGTTAGCCCTCTGTGAGCTCATAGATCAAGCGCGTCTTGTGGGTGCTTCCTCCGTCCCGAGTTTAGTTCAAAACACAGCCATGCGGCGTTTCGCCAATCTCACCCTCCTTTTCTCACCGTCACCTTCTCTTCTTTCCGTCGGCACTCCCTTGCCCCGAGTCGAGGACATCGCTCCTATGAGCAGTCGATTCGGTGCGAATTGGACGTCTCTTATGCTTTCGCCTACGAGGTCAAGTGCTGAAGGTGGTATGCAAACCATCGAGGTGGAAGACGACGACGACGACGTGGTGGAAATCATTCACTCCGAGGAAATTTCTGTGTCGGACAGTGAAGAGCAACGGCAACAACGTCCAGTACATCAATCCCCTCGGTGTTGCTCGGTGCACACAGCGCATTGTTGCTGCTGCAAGCGAAGAACGCCGACTGGAAATGGAGTCATATCACTGTTTGATGCTTTTATTCATTATTTTCAGCAAAAAGAGCGCATGACAGCCGCTGACGTTGTTCGTTTAACAAACCAACCTAGCTCACCAATTGTCATCTCTGATGACGAGGACGAAATTGCTGAGGTAGCCGAGACTGAACCCCAACCTGGGCCTTCCATGCCACAAGTGGACGATCCTTCCCCTAGCCAAGTACAAGATAACGATTCTACGGAAGACTTGAAGGCAGAATCGCCTATTTATAAACCGAAGACAGCAGACGACTTCTATGCCTTACTACACCAGCTGATGAATGGTGATAATAATGACAGCACCCCCCCTGCTGAGTCTGACGCATCCATAAACCCACCCGCTGGAGCGGAGGTCCCCCACGAATTACCTCGGCCGGCTTCGGCCCCCTAGCACTTTTGAATCCCACCAAATCTTTCTTATAATCACATGCTTTTAGAAATCGAAATCCGATGTTTCTCAACGTCCTGTGAACGTATAGTAGGGATGACAAAGTGTTAATTGTTTTATTGCTTAACATGCATAAAAAATAGTGCATACATCTGAGAATACTTTAAAAGTTTCGTCAGGCTTCCGTGGCTTTGAAGTGGTCGTCATCGACGGTTGAGTAAACATGTCCTTCCGCACTGAGGAAATCCAGGTCGTCTCTGTTGAAAAGATATAATATCTTGGGAAACAGTCGTTCCTCACACACTCAGTACCTTAGTTTTGGGTTGGTGGACAGATTCGAAATTATGGATCAGAGCAAAATTAAGGAGGTAGTAGTAGTACTATTGTTGCAATCGTTTAAGTAGACAACAGTGGGAACTGATTCAAGCAACTCGATATACACACAGGGTGTGTAAACTCACCGTATCTGTTTCTCAGGAACACCACGGAGTTTTTCACGAATTTGAGAAACCGAGATACCGCGTTCGTCAGGATACGCGCGAACGCTTGCCAGTACTTGACTTTGCAAGACCGTAAGACCGCCGATGCTAGCAGGAGCAGCACTTGATGAATCCATATACGTCATTCCGCCCTTTGCTAGAGCTTGGCTGTGTCCTCCAGGGTTCCTTGATTTAGCATGCAACATTCGTGCGTAAACAGTTTCAAGGATGTGGCAAGTAATTTCATTGAAATCCTTGGTTTGAAAAACCTCCAAAGGACACGAACGTCAACGATTAAGATAAAAGTTAGAGCAATTATTAAAGATATTTGTTGCAATACAAAAAATGGCAAATGAAACAGATTGGTGCCACATGAAGTGGTTCAGTATTTTGAAATTAATTTAGGAGAACGGTTTGTACAGGCGATACCACCAAAAACTGCAAAAGCTTAATGCCAAACTTAGACAAGGGTCATGCACTTACTTTGAATGCAACCACATTTCTAACGCCTTGAAAGCTGCGAACATGTCCGTACACTCGAACATAAGATAGTTCTCGAAGGGGGCGCGTTTTGGAAAACTCGGGAATTGATTCCTATAACGATTTTCGTATCGAAAATTGGCCCTACGTCATCATCAACAAATAGTTTCACTTGTATCCAAGGGCCACTATAATCATCAATCTCATAATCGATACGAGTGGGTGATTCGTTGACCGACCGGATGACACCGACCAAGGTGATCTACAAATTCCCGTACATTTAAATAAAGGCCAAGGTACGTGGGAAAATTGAATACCAGTTGGTGAGACAAATTTGTCGCCTTCTTGAGTTGCAGAATCAACCTCGGCGCATGTACAAGGAATTATACCGCGCTGTGGAGCCATTTTCTAAGTAAACACATTATGGAAGAATCTGAGGTGTGGAGTTACCTTTGCACTTGCAGCAGAAGGATTTGCAAAAAATCCGCCACCCATATTAGTGCTACCACCAAAACCTCCGAAATCTACAAAGGATAATAGAACAGACTAATCCTTACCCGCAGACGACCACATATCTGAAACAAAAAATCCGCAAGGAGGAACGAATGAGGTAACCTATAGCACTATCCGTTAGTTGATTGGTCGCGTTTGATGCACATAAACAAAATTCCTTTATCGTGAATTTCTGTATCGAACCCTGCAATTTGATTTTTACACACATAACAAATAGGGATGTCCTGTCTAAATAAAATATTTTTCGACGCAGATGGTACATTTAGTATAATTAACATGCCGAATTCTTGTGCAGGCCACTTTGAGAACCAGCAATTATTTAGGATTTATTATAAGGCTTCCTGTAAAAATATTGTTGCAGCGATAAGCTGCATCATTAAAATGGCTATTAGAAGTGTCCGTTTTATAGAACAAACTGTAAGTAGGGAAGAAAATTCAATCATTAAAAGTATCGTTGAAATCAAATTAGTGGTACTCTAACGTAAAAAAATGCACAGCTCGTAGATATTGTGTAAATCGTTAAATACAACATGCCGAAAATGTGCAGTCCAGTGATTAAAAGGTTGTTTGTTATTGTCATTCCATGATACTTATATTGCAAAACATGCCAAATCCAAATCACGTAGCCTGCACAGAGCTTTCTAAGGTGTGCCACATTTACAGAGTACAAGTAATGAAGAGGACATAAGGCATTAAAATTTTCATTGCTAAAACTCATGGTAATATTTACGTATACTCTATTTCTTTTCAACCTTGGTAATCTTGGGTAATGTATGTGAACAGGAGGACCACTGTCACTCCCACTTTTTTATATTATCGAGTTTAGGGTTATTTTCACAAAATCAATTATACTTTTCCTCGGTAATCTGTTTTCATTTTTTTAAAAATTTTTCTGATTTTTATGACAGATTTTATGCTTCTTGCAGTATAAGGACGCGCCTAAGATTATAATATTTAAAAAGGGCAATTTTATGTTGAAATAAAGAAGACGAATCTCTGTTCTTAGTTGATCTTCCTTTACAAGTAAATATGCAAGTAAAATACAAGTTTTGTACATTTGGAGATCTGGGAACTTTAGTGTTTGCACCAGGGAATTACTTTAGAAGTGGAAATCTTGACCATTTTTTACAGCTTGTTCGTTCAGTGATAGATATCACCAAATCATTGCGTTCAAGCAAACGCAAAAAAATTGAAATGGATTATGGGATGCTAAAATTAGTGTCCGATGTGTGGTTATTTAAAATAATTAACAAATGTTTTTCTGAGAGCAACGTTGAAACCAATTAAGGCAATAATATAACATATTCCTTGAGGGTCACCTTGAAAAAATAGCTTTGAAAAAATTAGTGGCACACTAAAATGTACAGTAAGTACAAAAGTTTCCTATTACTGTAAGTCGACCCATTTTTGTACAATTAATGTAATACCTGCTAGTATTCGTCATCGGTAGCGATTTCCGTACGTATTAGTATCATTTACTCACTGTAATGAATTTACGCGAAATTAGACTGGAAAACCCATGCTAATTGCCAAAACACTTACTTTAACTTTATGGTTTTAAGTAATAAGCAGAAAAACTGGATTGAGGTGTTAATTGCCTGATTCACCAGTGAGAATAATTTCAGTGTTATGTACTACACGGCCTTGGAAATCTGTTGTTTTCTTAACTCGCGGAGTCGAAAAATAATTTAAAGACATGTGATTTCTCACACACCTGTCGTAATGGTCAGTTGTGGTCTCGGGAAAGACAGTAATATTACCATAAAACGGAATCTAAATTACAGTAAAATCTATTTCTAGTAGGTTTAAATAAGTTTAAGTACTAGGGACTTGAAATATCGTATTTTATTATGAGCCTTACTCCTAAAACAATGTTATCTCTATTAAAGCCAGCAAAACGTTTAGATTCCACCAAAGATGGGGAACGAATGCCGAAACTGAAAAATGCGGCGAAAAGACTCTTGAATGGGTATTTTATGTGGTCTGTGATTATCGTGCTACTGTAGGGAAGTTGTTATAGCTCCGAGTCATTGGCATTGATACCATGAATAAATGATTAGCGAATGAATGCTTTGGACATCGCGTCAGCATCAACAGTTTCAGCAATATTAATAGTGGCGAGTCTTATAGAAACATCCTTGTTAGTTAAACTCACAAGAAAATAACTAGTTAGTTGATATACGAAGAGCTTGCGCAAGGAATTGATCATCACTTGATGGTGTTATTTTGGACTCTGTCGATTGAAGAAAGCGTTTTAACGTACAATTCTTCGCAAAAATGGTTTTAAGAAATTAAATCAACAGGCCATGCTCCTATTACTTGCTCTCTTCATGAAAAGTCTTTTATTTGTTCTCGTAGTGTTAAATTCTCTTGACACCCTTTACCACTTAGAATGCTGATTGTGCTTCTGTAGTGATTCGGCGTTTTCTTGTCATCAGTCAGTTGTGCCAATAGTGCAACTGCGTGCGGAACAAGATACCCGTCGAAGCTGATCAAACCGGGGAAGCGGCGGGAGTTACAAAACTAATATCAAAATGGATGCACTTGAACTGATGGTGTATTGTCTGCTAGTAGCATATGCGATGTGGTGTCAAATAACTGTCTTTCTTCTGCACTAAGCCACACACTGAGGTTTTGGTGATTGTGCTGTAATACGCAGCCGCGCATATCAGTAGGATTTAATAGATAGAAGTAGTTGGTCCAACGCTACGACGTGGCTTTTGCCAGCTCTCGTAAAAACTGGCCTAACATCGGGCCAGCATTGATTAAAAAATTTAAATAACCAACGGTTTTTGCAACTAGAGAATGGTGGACAGGCTAAGTGACTGACCTGGTTGTCGTAATCACACACCGGCATTTGGGTTTCCCGAAGATGCGTGGGATGGTCTAAAGACATGGTTTTAGCCTTAGCGGTTACGACACGACCACATACTTGACGTTGCTGACTGCATTGACTGGGCCATCAGGAATACGGGGAGCACGGTTGTCAAGCCTGTTGTCACCCATAAGAAAACTCGACTAGTCTTAAAGAGCGTTTGCGTACTTATTTGTGTCATTCGTTTGCGGTTACTCTGGTCTAGTCTGAAACTATGTCACAAGCGGGTCCAATATTCCGTTCAATTAAAGAAAAGTTTTGCAAACTGCATCCCTCCCTTAGATAATTTTTCGAGCGATGACCAGAGAGACAGGTTTGTCCACCTTGAAAGTACCAACCAAAAGATCAGTGTGCCGTTGAAGTTGACTTAATGACAGCTCACAATATTATGCCGATCTGTCAGGTCGTTCACGGCTGTTTCAGAAGGTATAAGACCTTGCAGATAGAGACAGAAACAGTAGTTATTCTGCATCCAAGGTTACGGCGTCTTCTGCGCGGGCATTTAAAGTGTGCTTGGGTGTAACTTGAAAATTCAAACAAATTATTCATCAGCGTGCTGTTTAACCAAATGCAAAAAATGGACATAAGTTGATTCTTTTAGATATTTATGTACATCTTCGTTCTGCTAAATGACGAAATGTAACTTGATGGGTAAGCATGTGACGTAAAAGCTATTTTGCTGATTTGCACATGTTTCAAAATGTTCAAAAAACATAAATTTACTTCACGTTTCCAGTATTCTGAAGCCATATAATAATAATAATTATTATTATAAATGGTGAAAGGATGCTTCGGGAAATTTGCAGCACAGTGCAAAAAATTAAGCAACTACTTTATACTACACACAGCAGAATCACATGATGCAAAATCGACGAGGACACAGAAACCGTATATCTGACCAAAACGATATTCTTTTAACGAACTCTGGGGGCTTCAGTATGCGTTTTTGTCAAGAAAACGGCATTGAGAAATCAAGATATGACGAAAGACTTAAAAAGGTTTTCTTTGACAGAGGATGAAAATGATGAAAACAGAAGGGCTGATCGCTCAAATATCTTACGTTATTCATAATAACATAATAGCTTGGCGTATTTGTGTCACAATGCAAGTTTCCAAAATAACCAGAACTTTTCACACTTGCAGGTCCTCAATTGCTAAAATTAACACGATTTTGAAGCCTCAAACTCGACCTACTACATTTCCATATCGCTCGTGTACAGCCACAGAGAGAAATTCCTTGATTCCAGATTTTCCTTATTAACTATGGAAACGGTGATCAGTGTGGCAGAAAAACACGTGTTATTGCAATTATCCCGATTGGACAAGCCTAATAATTATATGGATTTCCTGTTGCAGGAATAAGTGACCTCATCTGATGGAGTGCAGTGTCCTCACACCCGAATGGTAATTTGCATCTGCTTGTCCAAAAGTATATAGGAAAGACAGAAGTAAAGTCAATTCTTTAATAAATCACTTGCTTACCAGGTAACAAACAACTCAGACAAATACCACAAATCTTACAACTTACCGGCTTGTCATATAATTTCGTCTGAATCGAGGATTGATGCACGTTTATTACTGCGAACAAATTCGTTCGAGGTTTTTGCTTATGTCACTGCAAAAAGTTTTCTTTATCAACTTTGTCAAAGAATGCAGAAGACTCTTAGACGCGGGTGCTGTGCCTCGAGAATGTGTCGAGTAGCAGGAGCCCTTTTGCTCCCCAGTCATTATAGTTAGGCATTTAGACATTGGTCAGTAATTAGACAAGTTGTAGCTCCCCTACAGCCATCATTAATTAAACTTTCCAAAAGCTGGAATTAGCCAGTGAATATATGCTGCTAGTAGTCTTGATGTATGTATTGACATAAAAGGAATAAGTGACAACTAATATCAAATAAATGGTTAGCACCACAATTCAGTCAAGCAGCTGAATTGCTTAAATGGCCATTGGAAGAGTTTACCTCAGATTTTGGAATTCTATGATTCATCAACTCATACAAAGAGTATTTTATGATGGCCTTGTCCAAACGAAACGAATCCCAGATGCCAACACTGCGGGCACACTGATGAAGTCACGAAGTATTTCAAATAACATAATTATTTAAAAACAATAGTACAAAAATATCGTCAGGGATTGTGGTTTATCCCCGAATCTGATGGAATCAGAAGTACTTTTATCTCCTCT